CATTGTCTCCCTTCTGGAGTAGTTTGTGGAGCCCTTCGATCTTCCACCTCTTTCTTGGTGAGCAGTCCTCGCCGGCCTTGCACCAGTCCTCGACGTTGCAGCTGTTGCTGTTGTTGCAGTCCTCGACGTTGCAGCTGTTGATGTTGTTGCAGTCCTCGACGTTGCAGCTGTTGCTGTTGTTGCAGTCCTCGACGTTTCAGCTGTTGCTGTTGCTGGAGCCAACCTTGCAGCTGTTGCTGCTGTTCTTGCTGCTGGTGGTGGGGGAGCCGACCTTGCAGGAGCTGCTGGAGCTGGAGCTGGAGCCATGATCMTTGTGTTCTTTTTATGAGCTAGTACCACCGGTATGTGAATCACACATGGGATTTCGATGTCTTCCCTCTCAAGACCACAGCGCCGGCTCTCTTCCCTTCTCCTCCACAACAGAAGAATCTGTATGGGGCTCCATGCGCCAGCCATCACCATCAGCATTGTTACTACTAGTAGCACACAGCTGTTCCTCTTCTTTGGTTTTCCTTCTCTTTGTTGGTGTTCCTTCTCTTTGTCCTCGTCGTTCCTTCTCTTTCTTTGCAAAGATCATGTGCTTTTTTGTTGACACTTGAATCGAAATTCTGCAGGAGTTTGGCGCCTGTTTAGGGCGCGCCTGCTCCCGAGACTGGAAATGGTTAAGTCAAGGATTCCAAACAAAAAATATGTCACATACACAGATTCATGTCCCCAGTCATACTAAAAATCTAACTCAAGGATTCCAAACAAAAAATATGTCACATACACAGATTCTGGTTGTCGTGGGCCCACGACAACCAAAATCTGTGTAATTTACATATTTTTCCGAGCCGGCCGGTCTCATTTTTACACAGATATATGTTTGCGGGAATCACCCAATGCTATGTACGGCAACCTTTCAATACAGTAATGCTCCGTACGACTGTTCCGGCTTACTCTACGAGTACTCGTACGCACCGTACCCGTAATCGTACTCATGCAAGATTTGGTCAGCCCCTGAATCCCTTTTCGATACGGTCTGTACTCGTACTGTTCAAAAATGTACGGTATAATGAAGAAAAAATATGTGTACGTATTGTACGTACCGTACGTACAAATAACAAATCCTATTCGTCCACGAACTGGTTGGGTCGCTGACAGTGTTGTCTGTCCTTTGTAAGGCTCTTTACATCGTCATACCTGTAATGTTTCGGAATGAAGGTTCGAAATTACGAATGAATTCGTTGTGAATTATAAGTAGCCGTAGGAAGGACGGACGAATAGACATATAGTAGCGCACTCACACGTTTCTTGATTGAGTCCGAAAACCGATAACACAAGCAATTAGAAATGGAGTGCGTAGGGTGCTGTAAGATAATCACCAAGTACCATACCAGTCACCTGCCCCGATATGGACCTCCCAAGCAGTCATACCAATCTTTGTCCAAGTGCATGCCTCATATTGCATGTTGTCGAGGTAGGCAACCAGACAATTACACGAATACACAATCCACCCTCGGTCAACACGAATGGGTAATGATTTTGATACAACCAAGAGATCAGAGTAATTAAAAAAATGACGTACGCCAAAGAACTCTCCGAGAATTTTTTCAGCATTCCTCTATCGACGTATCGAGACCGAGATGTCCCTCTCCGGGCCTTTCCATACGGGATGCTAATTAGCGCCATATCTGTCCTCTTCTTCCGGACGACCATTCAGTTTCCAGAGACGACAAGTAAAGAGCCCATGTTTTTGCGATGGTTTTTCGGTGCACTGCTTGCGTTTTTGACGTACTCCAATCGGTCTTACGAGTTGATTTGTGCGGTTGAGATATTCTCCTACTTGGCCACATTTTTGCTCTTCTCCGATTGCATTCCGTCACTGTTTTCGAAGTTTGCAGATGACAAGAATAAAACTAATGTTTTGAGGATTGTTCTAATTTCAATCAGTGCTATCTTATGTTTGATGGTCTGTCGCATGGCCGCCACGGGGCTCCTTTTCGAAATTTTGAAATCAGTGACGCCAGCTTTCCTTTCAAAGGGGTTGATGGCGATGTTCCCGATTGAAGAGATCCAGGCTAGTTATGATATAATGAATGAATTCGTCGTCGAAGACGGTCTGCTCCAGGACCAGGTTGCAAGGCTATTTTTCATTACCTTTCATATTCAAGTAGGAATCGGATATCTTGGAATTGATTTCTTAAAACAGGAGCAACATCGACGGAATGAATTGGTGAAGATGGATATCGACATTGAAGGTGCTGTCGATAAAGATGGCGATGGAGCTAAGAAAGCACCTTTGCACGATGCGAAGGGTGGGGGAACGGCCAAAAATAAGCTACAACGCGGAATAGAAGAGAAAAAGATGAAACGCTCTCAAAAGTTTCAGCGCACAGCCGCTCCATTCATCTTTTTTACCGCTGTGCCATACATGGTGAGAGTTATTGGATATGGAAACATAAACGCCTTTGCATTCGCCTGTATGCGAGATGATATTCATCGAGCCGTCAGACTCTATGATTTGTTCGATCACGACAACCATCTAGTAGCGCTGGCGGATCACTCAGCGAAGGCACCAGCAGGTAAGAAGAAAAAGCACCTCCAATTTCAATGAATAAAAGAAATATTCTGCCATCTATTCGTTTTCTCATCTCATAAATTTCTCGATGAAAGACTTCGCTGGTTTCATGGATACGATTGTCTCTACTACCTACGATTTGTTCAATCGAAAACTTTTCAGTCTCCCAAAAGTCATGCTTCTTCCCGTTGTCATGTCGAAGCAGCCGAAAATGATTGCCCAGATTTTCCCCATCATTTTCATCAGTGACTGGATGAAAGGAAGAGCCGTCTCGTATATGACAAGTCGCATAGAAGAACTTGAAAAAGATGTACAAGAACTAAATGCTATTAGATCGAAGGTTGAATCATATGATTTGAAGAACTCGGAGCTTCTCCATCGTTCAGGCCCAGGTGCTATGAACTTCACGAAAGAAAGATGGTTGGAAATGACAGTGAAGTAAGTTAATCGCAGGTACTCGATTGTCTTCCTTTTATGTTTCAAGTGACACTCTAACCTCGTGTTTTTGTAGAGTGCAAATGAAGATGGCTGTGAGCAATTTGACGTCCCGAACGAAAGGTTTTTTCTCTTTTATTCAGCGAAACTTTGTCTTTTCCGTATTAGTGGATTGTGCATTGGCCCAATTGATGGCAGTTGGCAAGATCGTAGCAGCTGACATTTTTGTCTTTTCGCGGGCCATAGAAGATGCTGTTGACATGATACTGATGCGATCTCGATCTGAAGCAGAACTGGCGAGAATGATGACGCAGATTTCAAACTTGAAGGAGCTCTCCACTGTGTGGAAGTCTGCGAAAGAACGCAATCTCTTACCATGTAGCTTGAGGTCGAGACATGTGGATGACTCTTCTACACCGTTGGTCGTCTTTAAAAATATTGCGTATGCGAGGGGAACAGCCGCAGTTCAAATAGTTGACATGGAATTGCCTGCGGGTATTTATGCCCTTACTGGCGCCAATGGTACGTTGTAGTCGTCTTACTTTTGTGCTATCAACGACATTGAAGATTCAGTGCTGACCAACGTTCTTGTTTCTCACTTGAAACCTCAGGGAGTGGAAAAAGTACACTCTTCAGGGTGATTATGAGTTGTAGCACAAACGACCGTCCTATTGATATCCCACCAAGTATTTCACTTTCAATTTCATCAGAATCTTTGACACCGTCTTTGGATGGAAGACGGAACGAGAGTCATGGAGACATATCAGATGAATCTCACCTACAACCATCCATAACGATGCCTTCTTCACATGTTGTTGAAATATCTCAGACTTTCTATTGGCCGTTATACTCAAAGCCGATTGAGTGGATTCTCCAACAAAGTTCAGCAGAGAAACTAACAAATAAAGAAAAGGAGAATCGGTCTCGAAGAGTGGCGGAACTGTTACATTCTTTAGAGTTTACTCAAAGTCTGGACATCGAAGAAGTGAGTGAGAAAGACAATGAAACGAGAAACTTGACCGAGAACGAGTCCAACAGCGACAGCATTGTAGCTAGTTCTCCTACTGGAGATGCCATCACTCGAATTATGGAAGACTTGGAGGAAGTGAAAGAGGACTGGTTCAACGATCTCTCAGGTGGGCAGAGATCTAAGGTTGAATTGGTGCGAAAGGTATTCTTAATGGATGAATGCCCGAAAACTTTGTTGATTGACGAGACAATGGCGCCTCTTGACCCGCGATCCAAAGCTTTGGTTATGGAGCAAATAAAGTCGTTCTGTATTGGTAGTGTCGTCATAGTAATTTACCATACAGACGTCGGGAGAGAACAGGAAAAAGATGGGGGTGACCTGGTGGAGTGTGTTCCAAGCAACAATTTCTTTGACGGCAATATTCATGTGCAAAATAAAACCATGATCCTTCGTCCCGTTTGCTGACAAACAATAAATCGCGAGAGTGAGGAATAATAATGTAGTAGTTAATAGGTAATTCGTGCACAGTGCATGTGGCGCCCAAAAGTAGGGTATGATTCAGTCGGTCCCGTAGTTCTTCAGAGAAACGATTGCAGACGAATAAGACTGGCGTTCTCGTCACCAATGACGTTTGCATGGCGTTCACCATTTTGCGTCGTCATCCATGTTAGTGATCTTTTTGATGGTTTATTCGACCTCTATTCCGGAGTCCAACCTGTTCGTGTGGACCTTGATGTGGGCTACCAACTCGAGGTCCATAATTTATTGTACTATATTGACCCCCTTCGCCTTCGCCCAGACTTGATGTGATAAACATGGGCGTCGCTCGGGAGACGGTGGGGTCTGGTGGCCAATCATAAAACCGATCCTTTCTAAAACGAAAATAAGGGACAGCAACATCCCTAGGAACAAGTGAAGTCCTTTTGTTCGGCTTGCAATGTGCATAGAATGCAGGACGAGGTGAGAGAAACATGTCCGCTTCATGAATTTCATCCTGCTGTTGATGTATTTCTTCCTCCTTTTTGCGACTCAACCCCCATGATCGCTTCTTCCTTCCATCCTTTTCTTCACTTTTTTTGTTTTCGTCAGGAGAGGTAGTTCTTGATTGCTGTAGTTGCTGCTCTGCCAATCGTTGAGGATCGTTGATCTTAAGCTGAGCTTTCAGTGCTTCTCTCTCTTCATCTTCTTTCTCTTCTTGTTCGCGTTGCTTCGCTCTGCGTTCCAAATACTTGCGCACTCCAATATTTTGTGGCCCGAGCAATATGAAACTACAGAAGAAGAAGAAAGTCCGCCATGGGAAGATTAATAAGACAAACATCAACGTCCAAAGGAAAGAAAAAATCCAGAATGTCAAATAGGGATCTCTCCAGGTCCACACATTGAATGATATTCGGGAGCCATAAATAGCAATTCGAATGATTCTCATCAATGGCCCTAGAAAAGACGACGTAATTTTAACAATAGGATTCGGGTTCTTGAGGCGATATCCAAGCAACTTGTCGAACTCATCGTAATGTTTTTTTTCTTTCGCTGTCAAAACATCACCCGCAGGACCCTTCGCATTAACTTCTTTGCCTAGCTGGTTCTGAAGCTGAGGAGGCGGGAAATGCACATGTTCGACGGATATATTCTTTGATACTCGATGTAACATGTTTTCAACCTTGGTTAAATGGACTTGGGGTGGTTGTTTTTTAGCTCCAGATTTGTCATTGTTTTGTTGGGGACCCACACGGATTCTACGATGTTTATTAGCTTTCCCTGTCTCGAGGCTTCGCCCTCTTCTCTTCTTATAGGGAGATGGCTCTATGTCTTCGTCTTCTTCTTCATCACTGTCTTCCATATTTTCATATCCATATTCCGCCTCGTCTAGTATGTTATCCTCTTCGTCATCATCTGCTCCGTGGCTTTCATCGGATTCCTCATCTGTTTCGTCCTGTTGTAGGTCTGCCGGTGCAATGTACATAGAAAGCCGGCGAGCTGTTTGAAGTTGTCGACGACTACTAATATCTATTGGTACAGCGCCTTTATCCTTGTTCTTTCCTTTCGGTTTTTTGTTTGTTGTTGGAGCAGATGCTATGGCATCTGCAGCCGAAAATTTCGGATACTCGGATCTCTCAGAGAATGGGAATTCTCGATGATTGTGTAGCTCGATATCCATGTACTTTCCATCTTCTCCAATCACTTGTCGACGAGGACGCTTCTTGATCAAAAGAGGCCTCATTTTTCGGTTCTCCTTTTTTCCATCAAAGACGAGAGAGAAAAATAGTTCTTGGATCGTGAGGCCTTGATAACCTAAATTTCCTTCTTGAGTTCGAGTAAAGTAGAAATTGTTCTCTAGAAGGAGGTAAATCAACCAGCCAACAAAGAATGGTGGTGCCAGACGGATAGAGTTGACAGACACGCAGTACATCGATGTCAAGAAGAGATAGATTGACATCAATGGATTCTCGTATAAGATACAGTCAAGAATAATAACTTTCAGGAGAAAGCGAATATTTTGCTGCGATAAGTTGAATTCTCGCATTGTAGATCGAAATGCTGCCCGGGTATATTTTCCTGGGCTGGAGAAGTAGAATGAAGTTAGAAAAGAGCGAGAGAGAATCATAGTTGGAATAGCACGAAATCATTCCTTTGAGTGATAGAAAAGTTGGATTGACAAAAGTTCCCTTGCTTTACGTCAATGTCTCACTTACAAATCTTGCCCATGTACAGTTACAGCCACGTTTCGAAAAGTTTTTGGATCCCCACATGGAATTGTTGGAAATTTCTTAGCTTGTCTAGAAAAAGCTAATGGATTACGGGGGCGTTTGAGATAACTTAGAAGGGCAGATCTCTCGCTGAACCAATGGAGAGAGAACCGAACACGAACAACCCCTCGAGGCCTTCGGTCGTATATGAATGATGATACTCGCAAAGGGAAAGTAATATCATATTCCGTATCTGGGCGTAACGAGGCAATATCGATAGTCACCCTGCCGCATAAATAATCAGCCTCTTTTTCTTTCTGTTGCTTAACATCAAAAACCCCGATAAATGCGCGAGCGTAAGCATGGTGAAGAGGAAAGACTGTGGCTCGCTTCGATGAGTTTGGCCACATGGGAGACCGGGTTCCTTCAATAATGTCAGTCGTGAAGGCACAGTCACCACAGACTGCATAGACGGAGACTTCAGGCTTGAAACGATCTAGCCCTACACACCCCAAGATCTCGAGTCGTAGAGACCCGATTCGTCCGTCCTCTTTGGGAGAGCCAAAGTGTCGTTGAACAGCTTGAGAGACCTTTGCGTGACGAGTGGCTTTAGTACTTGGAGTCAAATATGAAGTTAGAAATACAAAGTTGCTAGATCCAGCCATCATGCACTGATAAAGATCTGTTTCGTTCATGAATGTCGCACTCTGGAAGGCACTGTGCGGTTTGACGCGAACTTTTTTGCGCTTCTGGTCATGGTCTGACTCGATTCGTCTCATCTGAGATCCAGACGCAATCAGACTACTAGTATGATTCGTCCCAACAACGAAGTCACTGCTTACATAATTCATACCGCTGGTATAACTCCCAGAGTTTGATTCTGCGGCCCTTAACGTAACACCCTGAATCTGAGAATCACTGGAAAAACCTCCGTACCCTCTATATTCTCCAAAAAGATCTCCAGAATTATTTCCTTCATACCTCCCGTCATAACTTGAAAGGCTTCCCGTCGATCCCTTGAAATTTGAGCCCATCGCGTGCTTGTTCCGTTGTCGAATATTTCGTGGAGATCGCGATTTTGTGTTACGGGAAGAATCTCTTCCTCTTGGGCTATTACTACGGTCAGCTTTGCCCGTCGAATGGTCTCTTCCTAAGCCCGGTAGCCGAATGCGCATTCTTTTCATGGTCTTACGCCACTTTTCTCTTTCCTTTGGATCTTGTGAGTCGTATCGTGAATTCATCATATTTTGTCGTTCCTTCTTTCCTCTAAGTTCTGGTTCTATGGAATCAGGGGGTTTGAAGTTCTGTCTTGTTCAAAGAAGGAGAGATAACTCGGATCAAGTATTCAAAGCCTACTGTGATTTAGTTTTCCATTCATCAGTTCCATATGCATTTTTTGTATTAGTAAGGCAGCAGTGGTGCATCACTCATGTGTGACTTCAGAAAGACAAAAAAAAGCGAATGTACATAGTACCGTACTTTACGTACTCGTAAGCGTTTTACAGTACCGTAGATATCTGTTGATTTTTTAAGAGCACAACAGAGAATTTCTAGTTTCGATCCCGTAAAGCAATTATGCAACGGTCGGTCGCAAGAGTGTCGCAACAAAAAAAAAAATTATCGCTTCGAGTACAGGTACGTGCGTCCGAAACGGCAACCATGCATAAAACGAACCGGTACGTTGAACATAGCGGGTCATAATACAGAGAGCTTATTTACCATAGCATCTTCTGTTAAGACACGTCCGTTTTCGCTTGGAAGACGATTTCAAGAAAATGCTACGCTATTACTCCGTTCCCAATTAAATGCACCTATGACCCTTTTTTGCTGTTCCTAAAGAGTGTCCTCGAGTGGATTAACCCTCATGAATAGTTTATTAAACCCCAAATTCAGAGAACCAGATTCAAATTGAATATGACTGTGTAGGAGGCGTAGAATCAGTACTACAAAGTGGAAATGAGCATGCGTGTGATTAAAAATTATTTTCACACATAATATGAACACAGCAAATGAAATTTTGACAATGATACAGTGCACCTCTTTCAAACAAGAAATGACCACACAGGGACCTTCTCAATAAGTAAGATAAGAATACCATGATAAAGCTCTCATTCCTGGCTTTCTATAGCTGTTGGTGGCATTGTTTAATGACTGGCAGAACAACCCCCCTTTCAACCGGTAAAATGAAAATCATATGCTAAAATCGGGTCTTTTTAAGTAGCTATAGCAAGTACATCAGACACATTAACTACATTCAATCTACATGATTGTATAAMAGTATAATAGATCTGTCAAGTGCAAAAAGAAGCATTCCAATTGCCCAAATATTGACCTTAATTCAGTAGTAAAGGTGCAAAAGGGACATTTAATTGGGAAAAGTACAACATCTGTGGTATGGTAGAGTATGAGTACTGCAAGTACGATAGCTGATCCAAAATTCAGCAATCATTATTTTCTCATGGAGTGTCAACAAACTATGGTACACACTTGTTCTGTGCCCAAGGGTGGAGTGAAAACAGAATGGGCACGCCACCAGTTCATTTTTCCCAAAAATATTGATCTGTGACTTTTGGACCGCCGGGATCAACCTATGATTCTGGTTGTCATGACAACCAAGATCTGTGTATTGAGTTCCATAGATTATTGGAATCAATGACTTATCATTTTCAGTCTCATGAGCGGGCACACCCTGAAGACAGGAATAACTGGGCACCAAAAAGAACAAACTGAAATTTTTGATCTTCCTAAAAAGAAGAACAACAATCTTTTTGTTGTTTCCTCTCTCAAGAACAACACAAACACAAAGGAAACTAGAACAACACAGGACAAGAGAAGAGCATGTCAACCATGATAGGAGGGGGATTGGGATGCTTGTGCAACTCTCTACTAGTTAATACTACTAGTACTAAAAGTATCAACATTATTCTCTGTTGTGGAGGATGCACAAGCTTGCTGAGTGAGAGAGAGCCAACTTCTTGAGAGGGAGGAAGAAGGCAAAGTCCCTTATGTGATACACTTTGTTGGTTGCATTGCTAATCAGCATAAAGAAAGAAGAAGGAGCAGTGCAACTGACACATCTTCCTCTGTATCCACCATGGCACCAACACCAGTAGGAGCAGCAGACATTTCAGCAGCAGATCATCCACCAGGAGTACTGCTCCCAGTATTGCTCCTGGGATCCTATCTCCATACCATACTACTACATATTATCCAGAATCAATCTGTTGGTTCCCTTTTAACAAGGGGAGCACATGAGCAATTCTGTGGGATTGCTTTCATGTGACTAGTATCCCAAAACATACATTGATACTAGATAGTTCTTATGGATATTCATGCAAACAAATGTGGTGAGTTTGACATGTTTGCGGTCTGTTAGCAGTCCTATTTTTTGTCCTGTTTTTTGTGGGAAGGTATGGAAGAAAAGTTGCAAGACACAATAACTCAAGGAACACAAATAACACAGTGCATTGCATGGGATTTAGTAGACAATCTAATCAATGGGATCAAGTTTAGATCATCCTTCATAATACTAGTACTAGTACTAACTGGAATATATTCTAATTGTAGTTGTTATTACTATTTATCATTGATCAAAGAGCTAACCCAACTAAAACAACAATCATCTCAGCCATGGGAATCATCATCCACTTGCAATCAACAATCTGCATTGAGTGCTTGCAATTATTGCAATTGACAAGCACAATTGTTGCAATGGACAATCCGCATTGATCAACCCAACAAGAATTGGAATTCCCCATTAGTAGTGTCTGTAGCTGGGGTCCTCCCATAGGAAAAGTATCCAATTTGACATTTTGCCTAGGATTGTCTCAGCTCTTGAAAGGATTTGAATCAACTGGAATCACTCATGAAGGTGTTGAGGATCTGATCAATGCCCACAGAGCTGCTTTGATAATTATAACAACAACAAGACATTGAGTATGATCTTCCAATCCCCAAGCTCTTCTAGTGTAAGCCTCTCCTTCATTTTTGGGAATTGCCCCTGGATCATTCTCATGCCCCATTAAGACAACTGTCAGACCACAGCCATTGCCTGCCTGTTAATTACTACAGCCTGGGTGTTTTCAGGCATAGTATCAAAGGTATCTAGGTCATTTTGCTGGCTCCAAATAACATACTCAGCCATGGTGCTGTCGTGCCAAGTGCCAGGGCAGTTATATGTGGTCATCCAAGAAGTGTTCTGTCTGGCACAAAGACAAGGACACTATTAATGTATGTGTCCACAACCCACAAGTTGTGGCACATACTTTGAATGGCCCAGTTATTTGAGTGCTTCTTAATCTTACTAACTTTGAGGCCATCAGCTGGGCCCCATACTCTTTTGGTTCCAAGTGCAGGGTACTGTCTTCTTATTGCTGCTGCATGATATGTCTGGACCTCTTCCTCACACAKGGGTCTAATAATTGCATTTGGATGATTTTCCAACAAAAAAAGGACTCTTCTGGAAAATTTTAACCATTTGTAGATAGGAGTGGAGGTGATTCCACATATTATAAACAAGGCCCTACTAGCTGCTGATCTATGTGTCCTGTACCAAGTCAAGGCCAATGCCATTGCAATGGTTGGAGTTACATCCCTCTTTTTGCCCTTGGGTTTGCATTTCTTGGTGAAGTGTCAAGGTCTGAACAGGTCAGTGTCTTTGTCCAAGGTATATCTATCAAGCACTAGTAGCTGAAAGAGGGAGAGGAGGGGACTAAAGACAGGACGGTCTACACCACAACAGTTTAGAAAAGCCTGGTCATCACCACTACCAAACACATACATGAATGGGGATTCATTTGTCCCAATGAGTGAAATTCAAGACATCATTCTATCCCTCCATTGCCTGTCCTCTCTAGAGAGCCTCTGGCGTGTCTCCTTGTCCTTGTCCTCTTCAAGGGAAGCTGCCCACCCAATTAAAACCAACTCAGGGGATGTTTTGCTGTAAAGTAGGAATCAATGGCCAAATAGTAAGGATGGAGAGTGTTTCAGAGGAAGAATTTGAGTTGTTGTAGCATAGATTTAGACTTTTTAGAAGTTTTAGAGGAGGAATGCAACTTGCTGTGCTATGACACTGCTGTTTCAAAGGAGCAATGCGGCTGCTGTGAGAGAGGATGGAGGCTGTTTTGGAGGAGGAATGCAGCTCTTTGGGTGCCATATCATAGTGATTTTCAATGTGGGGGAAGAATCAATAGCCAAATAGTGAGAATGGAGACAGTTTCCAAGCTGTTTCATGAGGAACAAGATGCTGATTTTGTGAAAATCTGAATCTTCTTAGCGCCATGAGGAATCTGCCAAATGTGAGGACAATTATATGGGATTCCACATTCCAAAAAGAGAGGACAATATATACTTTCACTGATCCTGCCGTGTCTTTAGTACTACTGAAAATGATTCCTGAAAACATATGGATATATATTATGGGACTGAACCATTCTGCACAATCTCATGCTATTCTTCTATTAGAATGGCATGTACAGTGCATCATAGATCTAGATTTGTGTCGAAACAACAATAAAGAAAGTTGTACATACAAATTAGTCAATTAGAGTACAAGTAACTAATTTTTGCAACCCATATCTCAAAATGGTCAGAATTGGTGCGTAGGCTATTATGTGTATTGGTCTCACTCTATTTACCACCGTAATGACCATATGTTTTACATACTTTGTAGTAGGAATTCTACTGTCCAACTGTACCAGCACTTCTGTTTTGAACACTTCCATACCTATTATGGTTGCACAGCACTTCTATAGGGTACTATTTAGCTTTGAGTGCAACTGAGTGTAACTCCCACTTCAATACATTAGTACTCCTGCACTGTAAAGTGTTGAGCCCAAGACTCAGATTTTTCTATGTACTCTTCAGCAGCTCTTCTTTGCTCACAAAATGAAGCTCCTGATAAGCAAATGAACAAGCAACCAAGCAAAGAACAAGCCCCATGACAAGAGCCCCAGCAGAAGAAGGAGCAAGAAGGCTGTGGGGAGAACCTTGACACCTTGCCATGATGATCCACAATAGTGGTGCTGGTTTCACTCAGTACTACTTGAATTCATGGATTTTGTTCACAATAGACCTGATAATGGAGGGGAACATGACACACTGTTCCTTGGTGAAGCTCTGTTCACATGCCAACAGTTGACCTGCAACATAG